AGCTTACCACGACGTTTCGGTCCGACTTGGACCGAAACATCGTGGTAAGCTCCTCTCTTCTATGTGCGGGTTATTTGTGTATCGTTCCAGTCATGGTATTGTGCCTTTTTTTGTTATCTCCTCATCAACTTGATTATCTAAACAATTCATCTCTTGCTTCTGGTGTTATCCATGTGATCTGCAAAACAGTTCAGCTTTTAAAACAGATTTTAGTAAATGCAATACTTTATAATAAATTAGTGTATCTGGTTCAACCTTTTATTTTTAAACACTTGAAAAATTAAATTAATACAGCCTCTCCTCACTTAGCGACGTACTCGTTTACCGACAACTCTGACTTACGACGGCCTCTCTGACCAGTATACATACCTAAATAATGTATATTGGAGCTGATTTCCTTTATTCTGTTTATTGCAATATACAGTACACTACTGTTTAAACATTTAAAAATATACAAGAAATGTTATAAATAGTGCAAAGATGACATTAAAAAATATCAAAGATGGCTGACACAAACTCGCTACAAAAAATATCAAAGATGGCCGACACAAACTCACTACAAAAAGTATCAAAGATGGCCGACACAAACTCACTACAAAAAATATCAAAGATGGCCGACACAAACCCACTACCATTATAGTATGATCCTCACTTAGCCACAATTTCGTTTACTGACGTGCTCTTAGGAACGGAACTCCGTTGTTAAGCTAGGAGAGGCTGTACAATGAAAAAAAAACCAAGTCTGAAGAAATGCTTCGGGTTTCATACATACACTTCATAACAAAAGTCCATAAGGTTACAGACGAGTCTGCCAGGTGGCCAATTGAAAGGTGCAGTAAAAGGCCTGAGAATCCATCCCAGCAGTCACATATAAGCACAAACAGGAAATATTTTTATTTTTATCAGGAGGAAAGTGAAAAACCCATAGATGTCATGCACAACTTGGGCAATAGGATTCATTCTGATTCAATCAATCAAGTTTATTCTCTAGAAGGATTACAATGCAGGGTTTACAGATTTTGAATATTGTGTGGTTTACATGTTTTAAAATACTAATTACAGAGAGGGCCACTAGGACACCTAGTGTGGCTAGGCATTTAGGGCAGACTTAGATTAATTCTAAACTTTAAATTATTACAGATTATGGTGTTAAGGCTAAGTGACTACATTATAGTTTGTGAGTTTAGCAATGTGAATGCTTTTGTTTTGGCACATAGTGTCTATATTGGAGTATCATAGGCAAACTTATGACTAGTTAGGATTCATTACTTTAAGATTAAGATTTGTGTTTCTGTGTTTATAGTCAATGGGTGAGTGAGTGTAAGTGTGAACCAGCAGGTGATATTCGTGTAGTTAGTTGTCTGGGTGTATCAGGGAGATAAGATGTTTTCTAACTGTAGTTTTGAAAGTGATGAATGTGTCTGCAGTTCTAGAGTTTTCAGGTAGGGTGTTATAGATTTTAGGCCCTTTGACACACATTGAATTTTTGTTTATATCAAATCAAGAGATCAATAAATTAAAGAATACCTTGATGCATTAATGCATCTGCCTTAAATAGTAAACAGAACATTTGAAACTATTGTATACTCAATGGAACTCACAATTTGTACAATTTACCTCCCACATGTGTGACTTTTTATTATGTCAATATTTAACTTTCTAGGAACTTTGTCAAGCCGTTACTGCCCAACAAAGCTCCCGGAGAAAAAAAATAAAACGTTACAATAAAATGTTGCATTAGTTGCACACGTACTCTTATTTAAAAGTTTTTTGTTCCAACACGCCTGTTGTCTCCGACTAAGGCAGAGCGAACCAAAAGAAAAATACTTCTCCCATCATTAACACGCAATCACTGTCTTTGCAAAGCACAAAGATATGACATTTCAGATGCCACTACTAACAGAAAATATCTCAAACCCCTCCTTAAACTGTCCAAACATAGATCTACATTTGCTTGCGTAGCGCTCCGAACGTAGATCGATGTTTATTTTACATGCTTTCTTATGGAGAAAGTCAGGGTCAGAGCGCTACGTGCACCAACATAGATATACGTTTGGACAGTTTAAGGGTTAAAGTGCAGGCATTGTACTTCCCACCTCCAGGACTCGTGTCTGTCTAACTGGTTTCCCTGAATCCCTTCACAAAATATTACCCTGCTCGCACTCCAACAGCTCTAAGTCCCAAAAACCATTCACTCCTACCCAACACTCCCACATGCCTGCTGTGTGTCCAAGCCTCTTGCACACAAAACTTCTTTCACCTCCTCCCTCCATCCTTTCCTAGGATGACCCCTACTCTCTCCTCCTCTCCACTACAAATTTATATACCCTCCATATCATCTTATTTTGCTCAATCCTTTCTAAATAACCAAACCACATCAACAAGCCCTCTGACTAATACTCCTATTAACTCCACACCTCCTAATTTCCACACTATGAATTCTCTACATAATATTTACACCACACATTCCCTTTAAAAGAAGGGGTGATAATGTTGCAGTTTTATAATTGTTGCGTAAGCACCCCTCTGGCAAGACAGTGATGGAGTGAATGATGGTGAAACTTTCTTTTTCAGGCCACCCTACCTTGGTGGGGAAATGGCCGATGTGTTAATAAATAAAAAATAATCTCCACTGCCTCCAGCCTCCTCACTGCAACATTTACAACCCATGTTCACACACATGTAAGAGTGTTGGTATCACTATATTCTCATACATACCCTTCTTTGCCTCCATGGATAACATTACCTTGTCTCCACAAACACCTCAATGCAACACCCACCTTTTTCCTTCATCAATTCTATAGTTTACTTCATCCTTCATAAACCCATCCACTGACAAGTCAACTCCCAAATATCTGAACACATTCACTTCCATATTCCCTCCAATGTGACAACCAATTTTTCTTCACCTAACTTGATTGATACCTTCATCACCTTATTCTTATCTATATTCACTTTCAACTTTCTTCCTTTACACATCCTCCCAAACTTACCTTTGTAACTTCTCTTTACAATCTCCCAAACTTACCTTTGTAACTTCTCTTTACAATCTCACAAAAGCACAGTATCATCGGCAAAAAGTAAATTTCAACTCCCATTTTGCATTTGATTCCCCATAATTTAATCTGACCCTTCTCTAACATCCTAGTATTTAGATCGAACAAAATAGCACAATACTGTGACTGGAACAATACACAAGTAACCCACACACAGAGAGAGGAACTTATGACGACGTTTTGGTCAGACTTGGACCATTTACAGTCACACTGACTTTGTAAATGGTCCAAGTTGGAGCAAAACACCATTGTAAGTTCCTCTCTACTATGTGCAGGTTATTTGTGTACCCCGGCATTTACTTCTTTTACAATCCCATGTATAAATAAATTAAACAACCATGGTGACATTAAACATCACTGCCTAAGACCTACTTTTACTGGAAAGTAAATCTCCCTCTCTCCTACAAGACTGTTCAACAGCCTCCCATCTAGCATTAGGGGAATTGCCAATAAGCCCCTGGCTGCCTTCAAGAGAGAGCTGGACAGATACCTAAAGTCAGTGCCGGATCAGCCGGGCTGTGGCTCGTACGTTGGACTGCGTGCGGCCAGCAGTAACAGCCTAGTTGATCAGGCCCTGATCCATCGGGAGGCCTGGTGATGGACCGGGTCGCGGGGGCATTGATCCCCGGAATAACCTCTAGGTAACCCTAACCTGAGCCTCACTATCCTCATAATAGCTTTTTATTTTTTTATTATCACACTGGCCGATTCCCACCAAGGCAGGGTGGCCCACCAAGGCAGGGTGGTCCATCAAGGCAGGGTGGTCCACCAAGGCAGGGTGGCCCAAAAAAGAAAAACTTTCACCATCATTCACTCCATCACTGTCTTGCCAGAAGGGTGCTTTACACTACAGTTTTAAACTGCAACATTAACACCCCTCCTTCATAATAGCTATCTACAGCATTTACTAATACCTATTCCATACACTTGCAACATTTGCCATATTGCTTTCCCCTATCCACCCTATCATATGCCTTTTCTAAATCCACAAGTGCAATGAAAACTTTCCTTCCTTTATCTAAATGTGGTTCACTTAATGCTTCAATGTAAACATGATCTACACTTCCCCTACTCATTCTAAAACCTCCTTGTTCATCTGTGATCTTGCTCTCTCTTACCTATAATTCTTTCAATAATAACTCTACCATACACTTTACCTGGTATACTCAGTAAACTTATTCCCCTATAATTTTTAAACTCTCTTGTCTCCCTTCCCTCTATTTACAGGAACTATACAAGCTCTCTGACAATCCCTAGGTACCTTCCTCTCTTTCATAAATTTATTGAATGATAGTACCAACCACTCCAAAACTATATTCTACCAACATTATTACAGTTTACCTCACACATTCAAGAAAAAAAAAATTGTCAGATTTACTGTTGTTTAACCTTTGATCTCAATATCGGGAACCTTAAGATCAGTCTTTTGAATACTGATTTTTATTTGTAACTTTGGAAAGTAAAGCTCACCAGTAATGTCTAGAGCTGGAGATCAACACTTTGCATGTACAGTAACTTGTATCAACCTTCTCTCCAAGCGAGTTTTCAATGTTATTGGTTGTTGTTCTTGTATTCCCCTCAAGGAAGGTTCCTTGATGTTGGTGAGGGGCTCTTGATTTAGGGAATTGGATCTGTGCTCCAGTTCCCCGAATTAAGCCTGAATGCCTTCCACATCCCCCCCCAGGCGCTGTATAATCCTCCAGGTTTAGCGCTTCCCCCTTGATTATAATAATATACAGTGGACCCCCGCTTAACGATCACCTCCAAATGCGACCAATTATGTAAGTGTATTTATGTAAGTGCGTTTGTACGTGTATGTTTGGGGGTCTGAAATGGACTAATCTACTTCACAATATTCCTTATGGGAAAAAATTCGGTCAGTACTGACACCTGAACATACTTCTGGAATGAAAAAAGTTCGTTAACCGGGGGTCCACTGTATAATGTTCTTGTATTAAACACTGTTTCCTCAACTTCTTGGACCATGGAATCAATCCTCCACTTGTAGGTATTTTCTTATCTACTGGATTGCATAATGGATTACTTCTAGTTTTACCTGTGACCCTGAAAAACACATCAGCCTGTATAATGTTTAGTACATAAAATATTTATATTTCTATAGTTGGTTCACCTTTGACAAAATAATGGAAAAACTACAGCCTATCAATGATAAAAGTACAAGTTTTAATAAACATGTCTACTACATAGAAATCAATAACAATACACCACTCAAACACTAGGTAATTTCACAGAAGACATACAAGAAACGCTGATAAAAACAAACGTCTCTATAGTGTTGAATATCACAAAGTCTCAGTAGAAATTGGTAGTGTAAGAAGACCTACATCAAATACCACACTAATATGTACTCAGCACCATACACAAAAACATAACATGAATCTGGACACACTGCAACATTAGTCAGAAAACTGGCTGTTTAAACTCAACCCCCAAGCACATGCAAGGTTGTAACAATTGGAGTCGAGGCCAGAAAAGCTAAAACATAGTATGCATTCTGGAGATGGGAACAACAGAGGATGCAGACTTAAAATATCAACCCCTAATAGTCAACATGGTGCTAACAGATTTCCAGAGACTCGTATCAAGTCAATAACTTCTGCTCCAATAATCATCCAGCGGCTCTACAAGTGGTAAAGATGTTTTCCCATTTTTAAGGTCATTTTGACTCCATTTAAAAAATACTTCATGAAACTGAACCTGTAATGTGTGTTAAGTGCCCCATGGCCTGGTGGCAAAAGATCGTTTCACACAGCGAGGGTCTGGGTTCGATTCCCGGAGAAGGTGTAAGCATCAGACGTCAGTAAAATGAGTACCTGGGTGTTAGTGGACTGATGTGGGTCGCATCCTGGGTGTTAGTGGACTGGTGTGGGTCACATCCTGGGTGTTAGTGGACTGGTGTGGGTCACATCCTGGGTGTTAGTGGACTGATGTGGGTCGCATCCTGGGTGTTAGTGGACTGATGTGGGTCACATCCTGGGTGTTAGTGGACTGATGTGGGTCGCAACCTGGGTGTTAGTGGACTGATGTGGGTCGCATCCTGGGTGTTAGTGGACTGATGTGGGTCGCAACTGGGTGTTAGTGGACTGATGTGGGTCGCATCCTGGGTGTTAGTGGACTGATATAGGTCACATCCTGGGACAAAACTGACCTAATTTGCCCGAAATACTCTGCATAACAAGCGACTTTCTATATAGTAGTATGTCATTGATGTCAGCTATTGTCTGTATACCTTGTACATGTAGTAAATAAAGATATTATTTTTATTATCATAAGTGAAGGTGAAAACTAACCTGTCTAATCATTTTCAGTACACAGACTGCAGATGCTCCTCACTTCACCATTTTATGATGGTGTAATAAAAGTGTAAACCTTTTTTTTGGGTACTGTACAGTACAGCCTCTCCTCACTAAACGATGAACTTCCATTCCTAAGATCACATCAGTAAATAAAGTTGTCACTAAGTGAGGAGTACTTTGATACTGTTTAATGCCGCCTTTGCATCATTTATAACATTTCTGGTATATTTTTAAAATGTTTATACAGTGGTGTACAGTACAGATGCTACCCTACTTACGAACATTCGAGTTACAAACATTCAGACGTATGAACAGACTGCAAATCCGAATTCTGAGTTGCACGCCTTCTGCATAGTACAACGTTTTGCCACAACCCACGCCAGGTAGCACCAAAGTGTATGAGGTTGATGGCAGTCTCCCCCAATAGCCCCATACAACCTCCAATCTTCCTCTCATCCATCACCTCAAGTTTATTGTACCAATTAAAAATGTAAGCTTTTTATTACAGTATTTATTAAAATATGTTTTAGTATTAAGAAGCGTACATTACTGATACTGTACAGTATTGTCTAAGTTTTCAACGAAAAAATGGCACAGAGAACAATAATAATGATGATAATATTAAAAACAATAATAATAATCGTAATAATAGAAAAATGGCAAAATAAAAACTTATGAACAATTCAAGATACGAACAGCTTTCTGGAACATAACCTGATCGTAAGTTGGGGGGGGGGGTCTGTATATTGTAATAAACAGAATAGAGCCTATCTGATGTTATCCTGATGCCAAATGACTATTGGATCACTACGACAAGGTCCTAAATGCACTAGAAGATAAAAAGAATGCAGATGTAATATATACAGACTTTGCAAAAGCCTTCGACAAGTGTGACCATGGAGTAATAGCGCACAAAATGCGTGCTAAAGGAATAACAGGAAAAGTTGGTTGATGGATCTATAATTTCCTCAAACAGAACACAAAGAGTAATAGTCAACAGAGTAAAGTCTGAGGCAGCTACGGTGAAAAGCACTGTTCCACAAGGCACAGTACTCGCTCCCATCTTGTTTCTCATCCTCATATCTGACAGAAAGATATCAGCCACAGCACTGTGTCTTCCTTTGCAGATGGCACCCAAATCTGCATGACAGTGTCTTCCATTGCAGACACTGCAATGGACCTCAACCAAATCTTTCAGTGGGCTGCAGAAAACAATATGAAGTTCAAGGATGAGAAATTTCAATTACTCCGATATGGTAAACACGAGGAAATTAAATCTTCATCAAAGTATAAAACAAATTCCAGCCACAAAATAGAGCGAAACACCAACGTCAAAGACCTGGGAGTGATCACGTCGGAGGATCTCACCTTCAAGGACCATAACATTGTATTAATCACATCTGCTAGAAAAATGACAGGATGGGTAATGAGAACCTTCAAAACTAGGGATGCCAAGCCCATGATGACACTCTTCAGGTCACTTGTTCTATCTAGGCTGGAATATTGCTGCACTCTAACAGCACCTTTCAAGGCAGGTGAAATTGCTGACCTAGAAAATGTACAGAGAACTTTCACGGCATTTACTTCTCTTACAACCCCATCTATAAATATATTAAACAACCACGGTGACATCACACATCCTTGTCTAAGGCCTACTTTTACTGGGAAAAAATTTCCCTCTTTCCTACATACTCTAACTTGAGCCTCACTATCCTCGTAAAAACTCTTCACTGCTTTCAGTAACCTACCTCCTACACCATACACTTGCAACATCTGCCACATTGCCCCCCTATCCACCCTGTCATACGCCTTTTCCAAATCCATAAATGCCACAAAGACCTCTTTAGCCTTATCTAAATACTGTTCACTTATATGTTTCACTGTAAACACCTGGTCCACACACCCCCTACCTTTCCTAAAGCCTCCTTGTTCATCTGCTATCCTATTCTCCGTCTTACTCTTAATTCTTTCAATTATAACTCTACCATACACTTTACCAGGTACACTCAACAGACTTATCCCCCTATAATTTTTGCACTCTCTTTTATCCCCTTTGCCTTTATACAAAGGAACTATGCATGCTCTCTGCCAATCCCTAGGTACCTTACCCTCTTCCATACATTTATTAAATAATTGCACCAACCACTCCAAAACTATATCCCCACCTGCTTTTAACATTTCTATCTTTATCCCATCAATCCCGGCTGCCTTACCCCCTTTCATTTTACCTACTGCCTCACGAACTTCCCCCACACTCACAACTGGCTCTTCCTCACTCCTACAAGATGTTATTCCTCCTTGCCCTATACACGAAATCACAGCTTCCCTATCTTCATCAACATTTAACAATTCCTCAAAAATATTCCTTCCATCTTCCCAATACCTCTAACTCTCCATTTAATAACTCTCCTCTCCTATTTTTAACTGACAAATCCATTTGTTCTCTAGGCTTTCTTAACTTGTTAATCTCACTCCAAAACTTTTTCTTATTTTCAACAAAATTTGTTGATAACATCTCACCCACTCTCTCATTTGCTCTCTTTTTACATTGCTTCACCACTCTCTTAACTTCTCTCTTTTTCTCCATATACTCTTCCCTCCTTGCATCACTTCTACTTTGTAAAAACTTCTCATATGCTAACTTTTTCTCCCTTACTACTCTCTTTACATCATCATTCCACCAATCGCTCCTCTTCCCTCCTGCACCCACTTTCCTGTAACCACAAACTTCTGCTGAACACTCTAACACTACATTTTTAAACCTACCCCATACCTCTTCGACCCCATTGCCTATGCTCTCATTAGCCCATCTATCCTCCAATAGCTGTTTATATCTTACCCTAACTGCCTCCTCTTTTAGTTTATAAACCTTCACCTCTCTCTTCCCTGATGCTTCTATTCTCCTTGTATCCCATCTACCTTTTACTCTCAGTGTAGCTACAACTAGAAAGTGATCTGATATATCTGTGGCCCCTCTATAAACATGTACATCCTGAAGTCTACTCAACAGTCTTTTATCTACCAATACATAATCCAACAAACTACTGTCATTTCGCCCTACATCATATCGTGTATACTTATTTATCCTCTTTTCTTAAAATATGTATTACCTATAACTAAACCCCTTTCTATACAAAGTTCAATCAAAGGGCTCCCATTATCATTTACACCTGGCACCCCAAACTTACCTACCACACCCTCTCTAAAAGTTTCTCCTACTTTAGCATTCAAGTCCCCTACCACAATTACTCTCTCACTTGGTTCAAAGGCTCCTATACATTCACTTAACATCTCCCAAAATCTCTCTCTCTCCTCTGCATTCCTCTCTTCTCCAGGTGCATACACGCTTATTATGACCCACTTCTCGCATCCAACCTTTACTTTAATCCACATAATTCTTGAATTTACACATTCATATTCTCTTTTCTCCTTCCATAACTGATCATTTAACATTACTGCTACCCCTTCCTTTGCTCTAACTCTCTCAGATACTCCAGATTTAATCCCATTTATTTCCCCCCACTGAAACTCTCCTACCCCCTTCAGCTTTGTTTCGCTTAGGGCCAGGACATCCAACTTCTTTTCATTCATAACATCAGCAATCATCTGTTTCTTGTCATCCGCACTACATCCACGCACATTTAAGCAACCCAGTTTTATAAAGTTTTTCTTCTTCTCTTTTTTAGTAATTGTATACAGGAGAAGGGGTTACTAGCCCATTGCTCCCGGCATTTTAGTCGCCTCATA